ATTCATATAATTTGTTTTCTCGTTTATTGTGTATACCACAATATGGTTCATTGTTTGCTCCTCGTTAGATAATTCTTTGCAGATTTTCTTGATGGTTTACAGCTAACTAATGACTCCATTTGTTTCTGGTAAAACATTTTTTTAAATGTTTGATTGTATGAAAATAATTGAAATTCCTCTCTTCTTGTGTTGTTTTAAGGAGATAAATTATTTGCCATGTCTTTGCAAATATTTCTCAGTTGTTTTAACATGCCACAGAAATCTATCATCCATAAGAAAATTCACATTTTTTTTGAGTAAGCATAAGGAAATTCTCAGTTTCCCCATGTTTTATACAAAAAATAAAATAAATTAATTTGCCAACCCTTTTACCCTAAAGGGGTTTCCTCTGCTTTTCCTTTGTTAATGACATAGGAGCAACATTTCTCCAATTATAATATTTTAGGCTTTTAGAGTTACCTGATACCTTGTTGCTGGTGTGGGGTAGCAGGTATTTTATGGAATTAGTCGAGGTGCACACAAGCTGGCCCGAATACCACGGTTATAAAAAAAATAAAAAATTAGGCCATCCGTTGGCGTTAAGAATCCCATGCTACATATGCAGGCACATTCACCTCTATCTCGTCGGATATCGTCCCCTTCATCCTCTAACGGCGGTGACAATGGCGGAGCAGGGCGAGGCGATAGCGATGCAGAATTTCTTAGTAAGCAAATAGTTCGTAAAAAGATGTTATATAAGAACTTCTTGTTATGTTAGTTTCAGTTCTTATAATGGTATTTATAGTGGAACATTTAGGTAGAGATAGCTAGTACTTATTTGTCATGAGGATTTTTGAAGTCTAAGTGAAATTTACATAGAAATCTGTCAATGGCTGCATTTGCACGAGTTTGAATTTGAGCACAAAACGTTGAGAGGAAAGGGAAATAAATTGCAAGAGTGTCCAATAATCCCATCTTGGCTGCTGGAAAATATGCAAGTATAAAGTTGGCTGTGACACATAGTAAAGGTAAATTGCAAAAATTCCGTCTTGGCTGCTAGAATATGAGAACAAAAACGGGCAAGAATTTACGCTGTATGGTCGCTCTCAAAATTTTATTTTTGGAAAATGATATTGTATGGTTGCTCTCAAAATAATAGCCAAAATATATATATTTTTTGTATATATATATATATACATTCTGTATTTATATACAAAAATTATACATATTTGATACACTTTTTCGGCTACCGAATATAAATAGTTTCTGGCGCGAGCTAAAAGTGATAATACCTTTTTATTTTCGCGTGGCTAGTTCTTCCGTCCCAAATTATATGTCAAATTTCGTTTCTTGAGATTCAGAATATTTGAATTTTGATCAATATTTTAAAATGTATTTTTCCATCATATTGACATGAGAAGAATTGCAATTTATAGTACTTTTCTTATAATTTTTTAATATTTAAATTTTAATTAAAAAAGTTGAGTGGATATAATTTAATTTAGCTTAAAAAATTAGTCAAATTGATAATTAAGAAATGACATATTTTGGAATAGAGGTAGTATTTCTCAATTATATTTCAAACGGTGGCTAAATATTAACAACCGGTCAAAAAACTTGTGAGAGGCTATTTTTACACTAGAATTAGATCACGTGGCTTCCAGTGTTGTGGTTGATGGGTGAAGCGAGACTTCTCTTGGTCAACAGTGGGGGTGGAAAAGGGGCTGCTCGGATCGGTTAGAAACGGGTCGAAAATGGATAATGGATAAACTATTTTATTTGATTGATATTTAATACGGATAAAAACAGGTTAACTGGCGGATAATATAGATATCCAATCATGGCTTCTTGAATTATTACTTTTGGGAGAATTCCTTGTCTCCCAAATTTAAGAAATTCTCAATTTGAGTCTTTACAAATGTAAAAGTTAAACCCATTGGTTATCCTATTTTTAAATGGATAATATAGATCTTATACATATTTGAGCCATTTTTTAAAAGTTCATTATCCAACCTATTTTTTATTGGATAAGGGGTACTGCAGAACATGTGCGAGCCCCATCTAGTGGAAAAATCAAATTCAATGAGGATTTGATTCATCCAACACGTACACGTCATGGGCATCCCCCTTTCGAGCCTGCCCCACCGATGTATTAGAAATGATATCTGTTAATCAATTTGTATTGCTGTAATAAACAATAAAACATTAAGCTTTCTGGAAAAACAGAAACAGAAAGTTAGTAGAACCAGAACGACAAAATAAATTCTAGAAAATAACATAGGAATAAATCGAGCCCACTGAATACACAGTTTGTCCCTAAGAAAATTATTCCCCTCAAGTACCCGTGGTGCTGGAATATATCCTCCCAGGATAGAACGATTTAACTCACCGGAGTGTTGGTACCAAAAACGCCGGATTTAAAATAATCCGGGAAAGAAAACGACCGTCGCGGGTCATGGGTTATTCCGGATTGAATTTTTGTTAATTTAATTTAATTAATTAATTAATTGAAAGAAATTTTGTCCAAAAAGATTAATCAATCAATTTTTGACCGAAGCCGAAGCCGAGCGACGACGACGGCGCGATGCTTGCCTTCTTCTTAACTCTTTAAGAGTTAGAAGAAGAACAATTGTATATATACCCATCAAAATCCTTGTCTTCCTCCAATATGGGACAATGCCCCTTTGCCAAAGAGGGAAACTCAAATATTTCATTTCCCCTCAATTTCCCATTCACCCTCTTTAAGCCACACAAGCTTATAAGCCCAACAATATCTTAGGACAGTTGTAAGGCTAAACAAATTGTTTCTGCTCCACGAAAGAGGATTGTGTTTGTTGTAAGAGATGTGATGTTCTTGTAAGTTGGGTCAGCGGTTCCAGTGACTCAAGGAATAGGGCATTTTAGCACTGTTGAAGTGATTGGCGGAAATGCCCTTGAGACGAGAATCCCGTTGAAATGGAAAGTCCTTGGTCTACATACATTAGTAGTAGGTTACGCTCCTATTATTGAAAAGGAGTTATCCTCCTCAAAATCCTTCCCCCCTTGGTCGAGTTGGCTTAAGCCCGAATCCATCCTTATTCCGATTGTCCAACAGATTTCTTGAATATCCAAATTTATTTATGTGGATAACTGTTTTTCTTATCTATTTCACCATCACTAGTCAAACAATAGTTTATGAAAAGATATGAACTTGTTAAACGTTAATTTTTTTTAATCATTTTTTAATTGTTGATTATTTTCAAAGTGAGCTAGCGCCTTTTGTGTCTTAATGTGTTTTTAGGTAAAAAAATCTACGAAAAAATCATGTCAATGGCTGCTGAAGAATTTAAAGACAGAAAGAGTAACGTGGAAAGGAAAATTGCACTATAAAAAATTCGAGCAATTTACATTTTCCCCCTTTACTAAATAAGTGATTCATTTCTAATTAGCTTATGGTTTATAATTGTCCGAGCTAAAATCCTTTACATGCATATGCACCTTGTGCCACACATAACTGTAGGGCTTTTCTATTTATTATTTTGTAACTAAATGGAATATAGGGACCGTAGTTTTCTTTTTTTCTAAAAAAGAATGAATATAACGGGTCGCATGAAAGGATTAACTTAACTCCTTTTGTGAGTTTGGCGTCGTCCACTTTAGATTAAATAAGTTCAAAAACATGTCCCAAACTTGTGAAGCCATCTTATAGTGAAAAAACAGGTTGGTTGTTTCCTGCGATATACTCTTTGCATATGTAACACCCATTGCATAAGTTGAAACGTCTTTTTACATATATTATCTTGTGTTAAACAAGATTGGAGGGCTGCTAAGCATGTGAAGTAGGCCACTTTTTTGTAAGGGCCCCTTTGTTTCCAGATTCGTCTTTCTGACCATTCTGGAACATTCTCTCACCTCCCACATGAATTGTTTTCTAACAAGATCTCACAGAGAAGTTCACCTTTATTCCTAAGAATTCACCACACACACACTCTCTCTCTCTTTCATTTGGGTCACCTTGATGTCCAAACACAAGCAAAACATGCTCCTTCGGGAGAGTAATCACAGAGCTCATCCATCTACTGAAGCATGCAGGAAAGAAATCGTATTTTAAGCAGCACAGCAACTAAGTTTAATTTATTAATGGTTATTAAGAAATCACTAACCTTGGAGAGGAGGTGCTAAGGACTCCAAAGTCAGTTTTTCAAATTCAGCAGAATCAATTTATACTGTAGAATTTTCTCCGTAATAATAGGTTCAGCAATATTTTTTGCATTCACCATGATGATAGCACTCTGAAGCTCCTTTGTCGTCCTTCATTACTGAAGGCATCCAATGGCTATACCGGCAATAGTCTCTCGAAGTTAGACAAATAGCATAAATGCTCTAATAAAAATACGGATGGAAACAAAACATCACAGTTGACAAAGACCTTATGGTAAGACATCACACACCACTTTTGAGCAGAGTAACAGCAAACGTACAAATCATCTATAAAATTCACATTTGATTTATTGTATAGAAATCTGAGTAGGATTGTACTCAGTAAGTCAGATTATCATATAATTTCTACTGCCAAAGTAACTAATTTGCCTGCCAGACTTGTTTTGTTCATAGTAGCAATAAGATCTCAGAAGTATACATACTTAGCGAAAAGAATAAAAAGATAAGTATATGTAACCATTGAATAAAATACTACGAATTAGGCGGGATGACTTCATTATTAGATTTAAATAAAATGTATGATCGTCTCGACATGATGCTATCGTCATATTTCTGCCCATCTACCTCAATCTAACCCTACTTCCATCTAAAATCCAACTGCATTATATGTGCTCGCGCTCAACTAATAGGCAAAGGTAATAAAATATTTATTGTCAACTTGATAACATTCTTTATAACTTTCAATTAACAAGGTATGCCTTTTTTATTCTTAGCCAGGATGTAGTTAGCCAATGTTCATGCTAGGTTTAAAATCTCTCACTTCAAATAAAAGTACAGATAACATTTAATCAGACGTCTTCTTTCTGGGAAAGAGAAGTGCATCAGAAAGAGATACAGGCTATATTTATTTAACTACTTGGGTTCTTCTTCAGTCATCAAAATTAGACACACGGTTCACTTTTTCTTTTCACCAACTCAACCAACCCTCATCCTCAGATATATCAAGACATCTCTAGACATTACAATCACAACTAATGCTTAATGGAAGGCCCACATAAACATTCTCAATTAAAACTCAATAAAATCATACACCAAAATAATGAAAAAGAACAACATGTTTCTAAAAAAGAATAGTCTGATTTGAATACTAATAACCATGAAGAATGTATTCTCCACTGCTTTGAGATTGTGCAGCTAGTGAATCGAACATCCATTTCAAGTCTTCCAGTTTCTTCTAAGTGAACACTCTACAAAGGAATATCAAATCCGTTTTGAGTTTAAATTGATCAAAAATATTCAAGTGGGTAACCAGTTGTAGTGTTATAGAGAAACAGCCATCTCTTAGCTAAATCAAATTGCCGGTTCATGGAATGATTGAGATTGAATAATTCTACATGTCAATACTTGAGTTATGGAGTTTAAAACATTATTAACACAGATATGTTATGAGAAAATTATCGGTCTGCTTGCAAATCTTGAACAAATTTAAATATGTAACCTTGAAAATATAGGTAAGGATTTCTTGTTTCAAATTTGCAATGGTTCCAGTTAATTTGTCTTTGATATTGATATTGCCTCATTGCAATTTTTCCCAATAATCTACATAAAGGATCCAATGTTTAGCATATGCAGCAAAACCATATGATAGAAGAATTCTTCAAATTTTGAACAATAGAGCTTAAAACTTTCCTTGCAAAGTTACAGCTAGTACCAACATGAGTTACTCATAAAGAATTTTGACTCACCTGATCAGTTGTCTCCATTCCCATTAACTTACAGCAGTATTCTTTGTTGCCTCTACAATTTTTTTGGTTATGATATCCTGAAAGATAAGTAAGACTGAGGAAAACATATAACAGATTTAGAAAGTCTTTTTTAAAAAATGGCAAACAGTCCATCTAAGGGAACTGATGAAGATACTAATCAAATTTAAAGCAGTTCACATAGTACAGCTGAATCAAAAAATAAAAACATAAGTGTCATTGCTAATAAACAACAAACCCTCCTCCTTTATCCGGGCTTGGGACCGGCTGTGTCACAGTATAACTTGAACACAGGCGGAGTTAAAAACATAATTTTTTCTAGAGGTGAGGATCATGCATATCAACTTTACAGAGTTACAAAATCACAAAAATATGTGAAAACCCTTTGTATTTTTAAATTTGCAAACACGAATGCTTTCACTGATTGGGTCTTGAAGAGTTTTACAATGTAAACATCCTTATCTGTATATTTCGCATAAAAAACCTATATCAGAAGAATAAAAGTGTTACAATGATTTGCAGGTAAATAAGCTAACTCTTATTTACGTCCTACCAAATTGCAGGAAAATTATTTCAAGACCCAAAGAAAACATTAGAATAAATAATAAGTAGAACAATTAGAAACGAAAGTTGTTGCTCATTTTCTAAGAATAAGTGAATGAGGAGCAGCAATCAGCAAGATAAATATACACCACATAAGCAATATAAATAAGGAAGCTATAAAGTTATAGAAGGGCTTTTTGAATGATTTCCTTATACACTATGTTATATGTAGACTGGTCATCATCGTTATCTGCCGTAGGTGGTCGTATTAATATTTTTATACAGCTTGAACTCTTTGCTCTGGATAAAGCAACATATAATTGGCCATGAGAGAACACTGGTTCGCGTAAATAAATTCCAACATAGTCTAATATTTGTCCTTGCGCTTTATTTATCGTCATAGCGAAACACAGGCGTAGTGGGAATTGTGTTCTTTTAAATGGGATAGGTAATTTCTCATCATCTGAAGATAATAATGGTATTCTAGGAATAAATACATGTGTATTCTTAAAATCACCACTCGCAATTTTAGCGCTAATCACACGACTCTTAAAATCACAGCATATCAGTCGTGTACCATTGCACAAACCTTCACAAGGATTTAAATTTCGCAGCAATATAACGGGATAATTTTCTTTCAAGATTAGTTTGTAAGGAGGCAGACCAGCAGGGTTCAATGAATGTAGAAAATTCTCAAACTGGCGTTGATCATTTGGTTCAATAGTCTCATCAGTGGCAACAAATGTCTTAGCATTTTTAGGAAATAGAGTTATAAGTCTATCATTCAATTCATCAACAAAGTCATTTTTTGTCGTCAAAATAACACGAGAGGTTAAAAAGTAAGAATCATGAAAAGACGTATGCAAATCGGGATATATTATGTTGAATAAGAGGTCCAACGATTCTTTTTCAGTAATATAAGGAACAATGAAAGATGTCGGAATTTCTATTTTGTCATCCGCGTTTGTCTTTTCTGTTCCATTTCCAATTCGCATCAAATATTCACAAAAAGAGGGATCAGTTTTCGCACGCATATTCTCTGATAATCGGAGTTTTTCAAGCTCATTCCATATTTCGGAGTTCAATATGCTTTGCCGAATGAAGTCTTCCTTCTTTCCACTTCGAACCACAGGAAGAGTTTGTCTAAAATCTCCTCCAAATACAATAACTTCTCCACCAAAAAGAATATTTGTTTCCATTATATCTTTAAGAGAGAATCTAAAGCTTCAATCATATTCTTTTTTGCCGTCGATACTTCATCCCATACAATCAATTTTGCATCGCGAATTAAAGATGCCAGTGAGCTCTGTTTGCTGATATTGCAAGAAAATTTTTCATCGATATTAATCGGAATTTTAAAACGTGAATGAGCTGTTCGTCCTCCTGGCAAGTTCGAAGCTGCAACGCCAGAAGTTGCTGTTGCTAACGCTACAAATCCTGTAGATCTCACAGTTGCTAATAAGGCACAATATATGTCTTACCACTTCCTCCAGGACCATCAATGAAAAATGCTCCAGATTTATTGGCAAATACTCTGTGGAGAATTATGTCGTATGCTATTTTTTGTTCAGCATTTAATTTTCTATGTAACAATAAATCTTCATCGCTCACAATGATGTTTCTTTCGAAATACACTTCCTTTGCTTCATTTGCTATTTTTGAAGAAGTGATCATTTCTGAAATAAGGTTGAACTCATTAATATCACGTCCCATAGAATGTAGTATTTCATTGATGTGATTCAAGACAGCAAGGTGGATATCCGTTGGCCTTATATTCGCTAGGCTCTTAAAGTCTTCGGACATTGAATCTTCAAACTGTTCCCATAGTTCTCTTGGATTATCAGGACTGGAGTATACTAATATTGTAGCAAATAAACGTCTTAAACTATATGGCATTTGATAACAAGTGACCTCTGACATACATTCGACCAAGCTGTTATCACAATGCAGCAATCCTCTTTTTTCTGCAGATTCTCTAAATGTGTCACAACATATTCCATTTACTGTCAGAAGATCTTTATATGATTTTGGTGCTCTCACATTCATTAGTAATAATCTAAGGTAATATCTTTCTCCTTCTGTTGGATGACACGTTACAACGCGGCCGATAACATTACCTCGTTGTCGTCGAGTCCACATTTTATAGGTAGATGACCATACGAAGTATTGTGGAAAATCTTTATAGAATAATTTAAGCTGTTTAGCATCTTTATTTGTTTCATTCATCAAAAAAAATTCTGTCAACATCGTCTTCTTAAGCATAGGATTTTTCACGATACTGTCTATTGTGTCAGTTTTTTTAAAAGAGACAAACTGTATTCCGTCAAGATGTAACTGGAGGTGATAAACATTTGGAGTCATTTCGCTAATAGGAAAGGCAAATAAGCGCCATAGAGCTTCCGGAGCTGACACCCATCTAGCAGGTCGATACTCTTTTTGTGACGACCCAACCCGTCGTCTCATGTATTACAGCCCCGTTTCCCCCATTTATTGCTCTTTCATGTTTTATTATCAGCAACGGGTGAGTTAGAGTTTAATTGAATTGGTTTGGATAGGAAATGAGACACTTAGTCTCTTTAAGGAAGGTTTGGTTTGGAAAAGTCAACCGAACGTTGACTTATTAGTTAGAAGGCTCGGATGTGAATTCCGGTGATTCGGTTAGCTTCGGGAGGTGATTTGTGACTTAGGAGTGCGATCGGAAGTGATTTTGGAGGTCCGGAGTAGAATTAGGCTTGAATTGGCAAAGTTGACATTTTGCCGAATTCCGGTGGATAGGTGAGATTTTGATCCGAGGGTTGGAATGGAATTCCGAGAGTTGCAGTAGCTCCGTTAGGTGATTTTGGATATGTGTGCAAAATTTCAGGTCATTCGGACGTCGTTTGGTTGGGTTTGTGATCGAATGCGTAATTCGGAAGTTTTTAAGAAACTTAGGCTTGAATCCGATGCGAAATGATGATTTTAGTGTTGTTTGATGTGTTTTGATGATCGGAACAAGTTCGTATGATGTTTTGGGGTAGGTTGGTGTTTTTGGTTGAGGTCCCGGGGGCCTCGGGGTGATTCCGGGTGATCAACGGAAGGATTTTTGGACTTTGAGTGTTGCAGAAAATGCACAGCTGTTGCAGGCCACTTTTGGCCTTCGCGTTCGCGGAGGTGCACATCGCGTTCGCGTAGTTGTGATTTCTGGGTCATCGCGTTCGCGATCGTGGCCTCGCGTTCGCGTAGAAGGGCCTGGGGACCCTGCCTAGTTTGTTCATCGCGTTCGCGATGAGGGAGTCGCATGTAGGTATCTCTAGTTTACTTTTTTCTACAATAATTTCCATAACCTATGGCCTTCACGATAATCTCAAAGTTTAGGAAGAATAATGAACACCGTTAGAGAGCTTTGGGCGCATTTTTAATTAATCTTTCATCGTGATTGTGTACACGTTCGCGTGACATAATTATGACTCTAAAAATAAATCGAGGTATGCGTTCGCACAACTTCGGCCAAACTTTCTTAACTAATAATAAAGCCGNATGATATTTCATCCGCGACTCATTCATTGTTTCCTCCATTTTTGAACCACCTCAAGAGCTTTTTGGTGGAAATTGAAGAGAGTTTTGACGGGAATTGATTGGAGGTAAGTCTCGTGACCTAGAAACGCTATTTTATTGAAGAATCAACCTTTAATTCTTGGAAAATTGGGTATAAATTTGAAGAACTAGGGCTTGGGCTTTGAAATGAAAATTTGGGATTTGAAGGGGCATTTGAACTCCGATTTTGGTAAATTTTATATGTACGGACTCGTGGCGAGACGAGGAGTCCGGTAATGTGAATTTCATAATTTTTCGAGAAGTGGGCCCAGGGCTCGGGTTTTGCCAACTTCGTGAATTTTGGTGTTTTTCGAGTCTTTTCGATTAGGTTATGTTTCTTTAGCCTATTGTAATGTATTCGTTGTGGTTTTAATCAGATTCGGCGTGTGAAGAGGTTGATTCGAAAGGAAAAGGCATAGCGAGCTAGACTTGTGGCCGGCTTGAGGTGAGTAATAGATGTAGATGATGACCTGAGGGTTTGAAACCCCGGTATATCACATTGTGACGCTATATTGAGGCGAGACACGTACTCTATGACGAGTGCGGAGTCGATTGTGACTTGGGATTGTGACCTAGTCCATTCCGATTGATGTTCGTACTGTGTTCTTGACTAGAAATTGTTTGGTAATCATCCTACTTGGATTTTATGAATTTGCTTGGGGCTTTGTGCCTATCATATGCATCCTTCAGGGATCCTTATCACTGTTTCCATGACGCTTAGCATATTTCATGATATCAGTCCTGAGCTAGACACTGCCTCGAAATGATTAGTAAACAAATAAAGATTTAAACACTTAGCTCTAAAATTCCTAATAATTGAAACTAAAATGATTAATCTGACTGTGCCCGAGTGGCTTGCATATATATATATCTGGACTGAGTGTGGATCGGGCTGCACGCCGCAGCGAATGCTACAATGATATTGCGCTTGGGCTGTAGGAGCCCCTCCGGAGTCTGAACCCCCACAGTGAGCGCGGGTACCCAAATGGATCGGGCTGCGCGCCGCAGCGGTCATGTGCATTGCATTGCATTCATGCATGTATACCTATTTGTCTTATTTGTCCTGTTATTGTTGTTCCACCGTTTTATGTGCTGAATCGCTGATTATAGCTTTATATTGTAATATTTCGGGATTTCTTACTTTCAGCCATTATATATGTTTATTACGCACTGAGTTGGAAGTACTCACTTTACTCCCTGCACCATGTGTGCAGATTCAGGTGCTCCGGAGGCTTAGTGGAGCTGTTTGCCGTTTTCGTGAAGTTTATTTTCAGGAGTTGTTGAGGTAGCTGCCTGACGTCCGCAGGACCCGACTCCTCCCCTTTATTTCATTTGTCTTTCCATATCCTAGACTTCTTTATTACTATGGATATATTACTCTGTTATATCTAGAGGCTCTAGACTCGTGACTCCAGATCTATTGGGGAATGTTTGGATATTCGTTATTATATTCCGTACTATTTTATTTAGATTCGGATTGGAACTTTGATATTTGCTATTTTAATCGTATTATTTGTTAACGGATTGCGTATTTGTGTTGAGAGTATTTAATTTGGTCGGGCTTGCCTAGCATTATTGTTGGGCGCCATCACAACCGGGATTGGGGTCGTGACACTTTTATCTCATCTATCTGTAAATTTGTGTTATCTTCATGTAAGCCAAACGAAATCTTATCATGTCCTTTACAGATATATTTGTATATATATTTGACAACTTTAATATCGGAGCAAACCTCTACATTTATATGGCAATTGTATTTACAGATCAGATAAGGATTGTACGGAACAACCCATGAGTTATCAAGAAATTGTTTCCTAACTTTCACAGATTTACCAGTATTTCGTCTTCTATAAATTGGATATGAGTTCTTTCCTTTCGTTGTCTCATCAGCAAAGCTCTTCGGGTACTTAAATTTGCACTCATTTCTTTTCATACATGAATTTGTAGGATCCAAATGACCACAAGGCCCATGCATCATGTGTTTAATAACAAGCTTATGCAAGTAAGAGTTCATATCAGGATCAGGCACCTCAACACTAACAAATTTGTCATAAGCCTCGGGCGTCAATAATTTGTAGTCATCAGTAAGTATAACAAGAAAATGAGCATGTGGAAGACCGCGTTTTTGGAATTCTATAGTGTACATAAAAGCTGCAACTTTTCCAAATATGTTTCTTTTTAATATATCTGTTTTCATCTCTTCTACTTTTGCTCTGAACACTCGACTAATTAAACCAGGCCTATTTTGAGTTTCATCTGTTGTGAACAAATGTTCCTTTATTTCAGGCCAAGAGGGATTGCATGTCATGGTCAGAAATATATCAGGCTTTCCAAAATGTTGTACTAATGAAATAGCATCCATATAACGCTGGCGCATATCTCTCGGACCTCCCGTAAAACTTGTCGGAAGAAAGTTTTGTTTTTCTATCTTAGAAGCTTCTCTTTCACCAAGTCTCAGGATATCCAGAAGTCCTTGTAATACATCAACCCGAAATAAATCTTGGTTAAATGAGGCAAAATCTAATCTCTGAGTTTCTACTTTTATGAATTCATCAACCGTGTATTATTGAAATAATCTGCCAGAATGTAAAACTCCATTTTCCTCATTGTCTCTCATCTGCAATTTGTAACAATAGTATTCACGACAAGAAACATTATTCCTTTTTCGTTTTCCTTTTTGCAAAACATCAGCTTCCATATCAAGTAGTCCGTCAATTGAACACATGTTACAAAGGCTTGGAAGCTGCTCAGTCTCGTAGTAAGCTCGTTTTTTCAATTTACTCCTAGGCTGTAAGATTTTTGGGATACCACAATGCCACCCATTTTGACTGTAAGGAAGTAAAAGCGGATATTGCAAATGATCATAGCAACCATAATAGTGATTTACTATTTGACTTTTGTTACTGCGAGTGTAAATTCGGATATGCGGTGAAGAAATATTGTTGTTCGTTTCTTGTTCTAGCCATAATGCTGCTACTTCTGACACAGTTGGCAGATTATATACTCTCTGATCTAAGCCAGAACCACATCTTAATGCAATGTAAAAGTTTGATAATTCCGGGATATGTATCAGAGATTTCAAGAAGATACAGTAAGGATTTATCTTTAATATATCCATTAGCTTCTTAATGATCGACTGTCGAAGTATACCCGAGGAAGCCATTCGATTCAATATTTCTGTGTTCTCATCGTAAAAATACAGTTGTAAATTTCTTGGTTGTCGATTTGTTGGAATCAAATCATTTATGAAGTGATACATTTGACCCTGTACCCTAAATGTGTAAATTCCGTGGTTTCTTTTTGCTAGTACTTTGTCATAGTTCACCCCAAGTGAAGTAAAGGCAAACATATTATTATACAGTCTAATGTAGGTACGAAAATGTTCACATTCTTCAGTATTGCCTAAGTAGAGATTTAATAATTCATTGGGCATTTCATATGACGTCAACTTAACCGAACCATTGCTACAACAAAATCCTGCTGATTCATATTCAAACCTTTTAGCTCCACAATATTTACAGTTTGGTACAGTTTTCAAAATGGTTGCGTTACTGGGCAACTGTTTGAAATTCCAACAACCTATTATCTTTGATCTACAACCTGTGTATATAAGTTGTTGGATATCATACAAGTATTGAGAAAAGATTTATGGCTAATATTGTTAAAAGAGTACCAAGACAAACCTCTTTTTATGACAACGGATGCCTCGGGATCACGCCGTTCACCGAGTGGATTTGATGTGGAACGTAATATGCAAATCATTATAACTGATATACGAAATATTTCAAGTGAACTAAAATTGAAACTGCATTTTAATAGTTACTAACCATATTCGAATACAGAAAGGGAGCCAATTATATTCTTCCGTTTGTTAGAACAAACTGTTGTGCCGTCCGCGCAAGATTTATCGGCTACATAGAAGTGAACGCATGTTAACATTAACAATACATATGTAGGTAAAATCCCAAAAACAACATCCAAAATTATATATACATAAGAGTTATATTTCTTTTCCTAACCTTTTTCACCAAGGCAACATGATTCCCCTATTGTTAGTATTCTCTGTCTAGGTAACTCAGCAGCAGCTTCAGAAGATGATGCTACTTCAGTATGTTCAACCAAGAGACCTTGGCTTGTCGACTCAATATTTTTTGATCGTCATTATGCTAAAAGCATTTCTTTTTTATCTGCTGACTGATTTGCATACACATCATATCTCCTGAGCTTGATTTTAGAAGCTCTTTCTGCTGAGTAATGTCGCTTCCTCTTCTGGAAGAGAGCTTGGCGCCGTGGCTTTTTTATCGATAGGCATCTGTATTTGAATAAAGTATACATTTTTAACATGACATCTCTAATACAAATCAAAAAGCAATTAATCTGACCATCAATAATGAGCGAAAATGTATTGTAAAATGCATTGCAAAATGAAGAAAGTAAAAAAGAACACAAATATCCCTAAAGACAATATATAAGCAGAGACCCAGAGCAGACAACGTAGAATCAAATATTGGAACATTCCTACACTATATGAAACGCATCACTTTAGGTGAGCCTCTAATATACCTAATGTGTTATTAGTTTTTCTTTTTCTTCCTGTTTGGTGTATGTGTAATTAACCACCAAGTTGATCGTTTAGGAAGGCAAAAATTAATTACAACAAAATATATGCCAAAACAGTCTATAAATTATGAAAATAGCAGAAGAATCCGTCTAAAATACACACAGGCCGTAACCCTCACAGAGATATATCAAAACCCCAAAAGACCTAGTTATCGCCAAATAAACTGATAGAAAACAAAACAAGAAGCGCAGAAGTTGAAACAAAAGGAACAGGACAGATTGAATAGGGAAGGAAGCAAAAAATATTGTTGTCATCGTCAAAACACTGCAAGGCCTCATATGTGCATATCGCTAGTAATTGCCATATTTATGTTAAAGATAGTGGTGCATCAGCCACGCTCAAATCCTAGGTCCGCCTCTGATTGACTTATATTTATAACACATACAACAGCTGGTACCAAACATCCTATCAACCTCATCAAACTCAGTCTTGAAATGCTAAGCTCTATGATCCAGTAAAACTTGATACAGAACAGAAATTGTCACAGAATTTGTGCCATAAGTAAATGACTTAATCATGAGGAGTTTATTAGTGGGACATAATGAAACTTGCTTAAGTTCCCATATTAATGGAGGTCATTCATTCAAATGATCATTCCAAAAGGAGAAATTAATACAGAAGTTCAAGAAATGGATAGAAGAAAGTGATAAAATAAAACATGAAACTAATTGCTTTAAAAGGCATTCTGTTTCTGATTATACTCAGGAATTAATGCTTTCTGCTAGAAAGTCATGTTCTAGTGCTTAATTATGTGTATTTGTAATTTCTTCATGATTTGTCTGCTTGCAATATTGGACATTAAATTAACTTATGTAGCTTCTAACTAATGAAAATGACACAAAACTTGGTTGTGACGACCCGACCCGTCGTCTCATGTGTTACCGCCCCGTTTTCTCCATTTATTGCTTTTTAATGTTTCATTATTGGCATTTGGTAAGTTAGAGTCGAATCGGTTTGGTTTTGGTAGAAAATAAGACATTTAGTCTCTTTAAGGAAGGCATGTAATGGAAAAGTCAACCGGATGTTGACTATTGAGTTAGAGGGCTTGGATGTGAATTCCGGTGATTCGGTTAGCTTCGGGGGATGATTTTTGACTTAGGAGTGCGATCGGAATCGGTTTTGGAGGTCCGGTGTAGAACTAGGCTTGAATTGGCGAAGTTAGTATTTTGGCGAATTCCGGTTGATAGGTGAGATTTTGATCCGAGAGTCGGAATGGAATTCCGAGAGTTGCAGTAGCTTCGTTAGGTGATTTGGGATGTGTGTGCAAAATTTCAGGTCATTCGGAGGTGACTTGGTTGGATTTTTGATCGAATGCGTATTTCGGAAGTTTTTGAAAAACTTAGGCTTGAATTCGATGAGAAATGATGGTTTTAGTGTTGTTTGAGGTGTTTTTATGATTGGAACAAGTTTGAATGATGTTATAGGATTTTGGTTGAGGTCTCGGGGGCCTCGGGGTGATTTCGGATGCCTAACGGGAAGTTTTGAACTTAAAGAGATTGCAGAATTTTGCTGCTTCTGGTATTTTCGCTTCTGCGGAAATGGGACCGCAGAAGCGGTACCGCAGAAGCGGTACCGCAGAAGCGATTCAAGAAGTCGCAGGTGCGAGATGTCAACCGCATCTGCGGAGTCGCAGATGCGACAAAAAGGACCGCAGATGCGGAATTTTGGATTTTAAGGAGATTTCCGCAGGAGCGGAAAAAGACCACAAATGCGGTAGACGCAGAAGCGGAAAATGACCGCAGGAGCGGAAACAACTGATCAGAAGTGGGTTTTTAATCCCTTCGCAAAATTTTACAGAACACATATTTTAACTTCGGACTTGGGGTGTTCTTGAGCGATTTTGAAGAGGAAATTCAAGGACTTCGATCAGGTAAGCATTCTTGGACTTAGAACACAATTTTATCATGCAAATACATGAAATTACACCGAAAACTCAAGGAATTAAGGTCAAAAATGGTGGTTTAGGGCTTGAAACCTAAGAGAACAAAAATGGGAATTTGAGGGGTCATTTGGACTCCGATTTTGGTGTTCTTTATATGCATGGACTCGTGGCGAGATAAGGAATCCGGTGATGTGAAATTTATAATTTTTTGAGAAGTGGGCCCGGGGCTCGGGTTTTGCCAACTTCGTGATTTTCGATGTTTTTCGAGTCTTTTCGATTGGGTTATATTCCCTTAGCATATTGTGACGTATTCGTTGTGGTTTTGGTCAGATTCGACGCACGAAGAGGTGAATTCGAAAGGCAAGGGCATAGCAAGCTAGGACCTTGGCCGGCTTGAGGTTAGTAATAAATGTATTTGAAACCCCGAATTTGCACAATGTAGTGCTATGTGAGGTGACTTGCATGCCGGATAACGGGCGTGGGGTAGAGCACCATCGGGGATTGTCCCGCTTAATAAAAATTACTACCTAATTGATTGTAGTTTCGTGATATCCTTATAAAAATGGATTAATTATCATAACTGGGCTTCGTGCCAACTACTTGAATCCTTCAGGGATTATTTTACTGGTTTCTTACCATATATTGAACTCAGTCCTGGTATTTAACATTGTTTTGTAAACTCAGTCATTTTCTAAAAGTAGAAACTAAAGTAATATTTTTAAATGAAGTTTGGGCTGAATATTTTTATATTATTGTGCCGAAAGGCTTATGTGATTTTGGACTGAGTATGGGATCGGACTGCACGCCGCAGTGGTATAATAATGATATTGATATTAGGCCAAGGGCCTGTTTGATGCCACGAGATGGCTTATTATTGCGCTTGGGCTGTAAGGGGCCCTTCCCGGAGTCTGCATACCCCCAGTGAGCGCCGTCGACGTTAAATAAATGGAGCGGGCTGCACGGTCGCAGCGGGGTACTGGAGGTACCGGTTTATGTGTTGCATTGCATATTTAATTGTTATTTATTCTCATTCTGGTGTGACTTTATTATAACTGTTTTTAATGTTTACTGTATTATGCTATTGGTCCACGTTGTTGTATTTATAGCTTTACTTTGTGTTTATTTAGGATTTCTTATCCTCAGACTTTATTTATATTTATTACTCTCTGGGTTGGAAGTACTCACAATACTCCCTGCACCTTGTGTGCAGATTCAGGTACACCACAGGGTGAGTGAGGACTTGTTTAGCGGAGCAGCAATTATCTGGGAGTATCGAGGTAGCTGCATGGCGTTCGCAGCCTTGATCTCTCCCATCCATTTTATCCTTCTATTCGTATTATTTTCTTAGTCGGACTTGTAATAGGTGAATAATCTGTTTCTAGAGGCTCATGTTCGTGACATCAGATTCTGTGGGCTATTTAGTATTTTATTTTGGGGTTTTCGAATGTTAGAGATTATATCAGAATTTCCGCACTAAATTGGTATTATAGTAGTGAACATTTATCTATTTATTTAGATTATTTGGCTAAGGTTGCGTAAATGGTCGGGCTTGCCTAGCAATGTGTTGGGCGCCATCACGACCGGGGTTTGGGTCGTGACAAGGTGGTATCAGAGCCTAGGTTACTTGGTCTCGCGTCATGAGCCGGTTTAGTAGAGTCTCGTGGATCGGTACGGAGACGTCTGTACTTATCCTCGAGAGGCTGCAGAACCTTTAGGAAATACTTCATATTCTTGAAACTCTTGTCGTGCGGTTTTGTTGAACTGTGAACTAAATCCTTATTATTCTATTCTCTCACAGATGGGGAGAACACGAGCTACCGAACGTGACGGACGACCACCAGTGCCACCTACTGAGGCCGCCAGAGGCCGTGGACGCGGTCGTGGTCGTGGCAGGGGTAGAGTAGCCGGGGCAGCACCTGTTAATCCGATAATTGCCCCAGCTCAGGATCAGGTTCCAGCTGTGGAGACCCCAGCAGCACCTGCACAGGCACCAGCCGTGCCTATTGTGATTCCGGGTCTTCAGGAGACTTTGGCATAGATCTTGACGGTCTGTACCGGTTTGGCTCAAGCAGTTTCAGCCACCACAGCAGCAGCAGCTTCACAGACCGAGGGAGGCAATCAGACCCCCGATGCCCGCACACCTGCGCAGGGAGTGCAGGGGCTACAGACACCGGAGGCACCTCCAGCTCAGCAGGTTGCACCAGCTCAGGGTTTTGTGGTGCCAGCTATGCCAGACGATGAGCAGCATCGTCTCGAGAGGTTTGGTAGACTCCAGCCTCCGACATTCGGTGGTGCTGAGGGCGAGGATGCCCAGAGTTTTCTTGACAGATGCCAGCGTATGCTCCGTACGGCAGGGATCCTTGAGTCGAGTGGTGTGGCATTTACTACTTTTTAGTTCACGGGGTCTGCTCTTACTTGGTGGGAGGACTTTGAGAGGCGTAGGCCTGCCGGTGCAGCACCTCTGACTTGGCAGCAGTTCTCAGCTCTTTTTCTGGAGAAGCATATACCTCAGTCCCGCAGGGAAGAGTTGCGTAGGCAGTTTGAGTGGTTGACACAGGGAGACATGACAGTGACTCAGTACGAGATGAGGTTTTCCCAGCTGGCTCGTCATGCTACTTGGATGGTTCCAATAGATCGCGAGAGGATCAGGAGGTTTGTGGATGGTCTTAACTATCATCTCCGTATTCTGATGACTAGAGAGAGAGTACTGGGTGCTACGTTTGAGGAGGTGGTAGACATTGCTCATGAGATTGAGTCAGTTCTCCGTAGAGAGCGAGAGGAGAGGAAGGCTAAGAGGCCTCGTGGATCA